AGCTACACAGCAGTAATCCTCCTCTCCTCTGAGAACAGTCGCTCTGTCTCGGCTCCAATCACAGCTCCTGACCGGAGGCTTATCTGGCGAGCTGTCTTCACATCGTTGTCCTCAGCGACTCCTCTGGCCCTCCCACCTCCTCCTCGACCTGAGCGCTCCATCAGCCCCGAGAGCAACGACAGCATCTCCGAGGAGCTCAACCACTTCAAACCCATCGTGTGCTCACCTTGCACGCCGCCCAAACGCCTGCCGGACGGCCGTCTGATGGAGCCTGCCATCATCAAGTCCACACCCAGGAATCTGACCCGCGGTCTGCAGAAGGCCACCAGCTATGAGGCCAGTCCTGCTGTGCTGCAGAAGTGGAGGCAGATAGAACTGGACCGCCAGAGCCTCAAAGTGAACTCGAGGGCCACGCTGACGAGCCCTGTCACTGAGCTCCACAACAAGGCCAGTGTGGCAGAGGATGCCACAAAGGCTCATCAGTCCCCAGCGGGAGACAGAGTGATGTCCCACAACAAGAGGAAGCTGCTGTTCGACCCTCCAGCCGGAGATCCAGACACCTTCCAGAAACAGTCTGTGAAGATCCGGGTCCCTGCGATCCGCTACAGCAGTGAGGCAACTTTCAGAGGAGGTTCAGACTTTGAATCGACCATTGGCACTCCTGAATCCTGCAGCGGACTGCTTTTTAATCGGAAGCAATCATTCTCACCATACTCTAAAAACTCTGGTTTCCAGTCATGTAAATTGGTGCCAAAGGACTCACAGAGTCCACAGAAGGAGTCTGACAGTAGTATCCACAACCAGTCTACCTCAAGGAGGGGCAAGAAGAGGAAGCAGAAGACCAAACACCTGGACTCAGAGCGGGACTCAGACCTGAAGAGGAGTAGGGTGGTCAGCCAGGGGGCCTTTGATGAACGGTACATTTGTCAGGTCCAGCAGGAGCGTCAGGACCGAGCACTCGCCCTGAAGCTGCAGAGACAGTTTGACCTGGAGAACCAGACCGTCAACCGCAGGAGGACTCCCGACAAGTACTTCCTGCGGTCCTGGATGGCTAGTCAGAACCGGAGGAGGCGAGGCCTGAGAAGATCTCGACGAATCAACAAGAAGCACTAGAGAGAAGCTGGCACACACAGGAAGAGTTTCATATATGCAAAGGACAAAAGGTGAAGGTTTAATGAAATGTATGAATGTTTTCACACGACCAACGTCTCAGCAGCAGGCTGACCTTATTTCACAAAAGGTGAGATCAGTCCTGATGCTGTACTTTCTTCCAAATATTGTCTTTTCACCAGCAAATCACCAAAAACCAAGTGCACTGAAATAAAGACGGGACAGTCCAACAGTGAAGTCAGGAACATGTCTCCACACATCGTGAACCAAACCGGCCATAGAAAATCCCAGACGCTGGCATCCTCAGATCCACCTTCACTGGAAACGGGGTCTGTTTCAGCCCGATAAATCAGTTCAGACTTTGACAGCTACAGAGGAAGGGAGGGATTTATTTTGAAAATCCTATAGTGGTGTTGTCTCAGTCAGGATTCTTGGCCCTGATTCGAGTCCTGTAACATTGTGTATCAGCTGATACACAGTCCCATCTTTTATTTACTTAAATGATTCAGTCTGTGTCTGACAGTGAAACAACCACTGAAGCTCTTTTATCTGACGCACTGTGTTTTTCACAGGCTACTTGACCTAAATACTGGAGGCCCGGATTCACAATGATGACAGTGATCAATTAAAATTAATGATCTGATGTGAATGAAAGTTTAATGGGAGACTGTGACGTGATGAGATCCTCTAGAGCGAAGATGTCTCGCTCTGCTGGAAACACTCAGTCGACTCTGGTTGAACAGCAGTGTTACGCAATGGAGCGTCTTACCTCAGACATGGTCTTTGGCTGAGTGCAGACACCGGCTAGGGAGACGCTTTCACCTGAAAGTAGACACGTTTCTTTTTGTCGTCAAACTGAATAAGCCTGCTTCCGAGTTTGAGAGCGTACGGACACGTTGCCATGACAAGTCCTGCGAGACTTTTGAAGAACCAACTGATCTGGCATCATCTCAGCAAAGTTATCTGACTAACCTGATAATCTATGTAGGAAGAGCCCAGATCCAGGGTCTAACCAGCACTTCTGTGTAGGAATACAACTGCAGTACCTGCCCCTGGTTCTCTGTGTGTCAATGCCTTGTACTTGGATTAGAACAGAAATGTGCAAAATATGAGAGGAAACAAAAAGTAAGTGCACATATGTCGCACCTTTCTTCTTTAGCCAATAACAACAGCAAAGGACCAACAAGCAGCAGAAAACGATCCGACAATAGTTGGAACAAACAGCAGCTTCAGAAGATGGTCAGTTCACAAAGGGTTAAAAACACTAAACCTACTCCTTAGCTGCTGAATTTGGTTTATTCACTTTGGTTTAATCAATATTTCAATGCTTATAATTTTGCACTTAAATAGAATTTTGAATGCATGACCTTTACTTAGAGTATTGGAGTACACTGGTATTTGTAGTTTTGCTTTCATAAAGGGTCTGAGTGCTTCTTGCAGCACTGGTGAGGCGTTCACTTCTCTCTTATTAAGTGGGATCTATCAGCGCTTTAAGAATCATTTGACTTTGGATGCTGTTCTAACAATTGTTGCCAATAATATAGATTTTTTTTGATAAGTAGTGATTCTGAAAATTTGGAAAAGTTTCGATATTCATTTTCTGTAGTACAGATGCACTGACACCAGCTGCACTTTTTCGCTCTTTCTTTTCTCTGACAGCGGGTTTATGTGCACACACACCGCAGCAGCGCCCCCAGCTCCACCTCCTCTCACTCACTCACAGCACCGTCTACCCCGCCGCTCGTCTCATTTGCCCCCAGTTGAATGTCAAGCTAACAATAGACCTTGTATTGAGGGTTTTGCTGTGGTGTTAGCTCATTACAGATGACAACTGCAGAGCCTCCATGACCGGTTTTGGCTGACAAAGAAAACGGCGCAGCTTTTTGGCGATGCTACAGAGCAGCAATAACGACAGGTGCTTCGTGTGTTTTGTTCAACCACGTATATGACGACGTGTATGGTTCACAGTGACACAGTTTAGTGTCGACTACAGACTCTGTTCACAAAAGACGACTGACAGAACCAAACACAGATCATCCAGTCTGACAAACTGGAGCATGACCTCCAGGAGGTGCCGTGGACACAAACATCAGCAGCAGAAACACACTTCACATTTAACTTAAGTGTTGCTGGGATTTAAACAGACCATTTTAGCTGTGAGTGACCAGCTGCAGGTTCACAGGATAGCCAGACTGGCACATGCTGACCAGTCGCTACTCCGTGCACAGCTGATGTGTCTACTGCTGCTGGTTGACGTGAACCAACATGAAGCAGGAGGAGCTCGGGGAGCAGTCGGTGTGTTACAGCAGAAATCATGTATTTTCTTATAGCTTCAGGAGGCATCTGAGGACTGATCATGATAAATATTTTGAGTGGACAGTTTTCTGTTTTTCATATTTTGCAGGATGGCATGTTCCCGGTCCCCTGTGGAGATTATGCTTTAGGTCTATGGTCATTCTGTTGTTCTTTGCTATTAGCCAAGAAGAGTCAGACTTCATTGTCATGTTTTTTCCTTGTTCCACTTACCTTTAAATGAAATGTAAAATTTTATGCCCTCAGTTGGGAGTTAGAGCTGCCAGTATCAGGACAACACTAGCTCTGACATGACACCACTGCAGCATCAGCTGGTGGAGAACCACAGTAGTGCAGAGGACTGATTTCTTATAGAGCTTGGAAACGCACCCCATGTGTGTACGTGTTTAATTTTATTGGCTCTTAAAGGTTCAACACCTGCTGCAGAGGAGGTGCTAAGGACCCGGGTCAGCTGGTACCTTAGTGGTGCATATTGTTGTTATGTGCTACTTGTTGACACACAGTGAACCTGAGGCTGTTTCTTCATAGTCACCAGTCAGGTCAGATGAGACAGTCTGGTACAGAACCACGTGACTCCAGTCTGGTCTCCTCATTGTGTCCAAACACTCCCCTGTGCTTTACTTTCACTGTGGACAGGATGTGTCTGAGCTCTAGGACGCCCCAAATGAGTTTACTGTGGACGTGTCGAGGCCTACTAGGAGTCTGAGGTCCAGCTGACCTGCATGTGCCTGGACGGTAGGAGCATATAGAGCCAGTTCTAAACATGGATCTGGTCCAGTACTGTTTCTCAATTCACAAGGCTTTTTCCTGCTTCCAACATGGATATCTATCACCGGTAAGTCATGTTTCTGCATCAGTCAACAGACCTGAGGATTACGGGACGTTTGCTTTTAAAACCACCAGATAAATAGACTTCACACAATTTTTGTGTGGAACCAGTGTGGTTACTGGTTCATCTTTGCAGCTGACAGTCTTCCAGTGTGAACATTTATCATAGGTTTTTAGTTTTTTGGGTATCAACTAACATTCTGAAGCTGTGGAAGGAGTATTCATCATAGCCACCGAGGCTCATGGTTAATGTAGTTTTCTCCACAGACCAAACTGAAGGCGGAACACTGATTGATCAGGGAGGATTTCTGCCTGAAGACAGAATGCACCTGTCCAGTCTGGATCAGGGGACACTGGGGTTCACGAGAGAAACATTGTATGACTGGGTCCTCCTGGTTTATGGAGGCAATAGAGCTGAAGGAGGGTCGGTGTCGTCAGTGTTTGACTTTAATGTGAGAAGCCGTATTCACGTTATTCAACCAGTGGACTCGCATCTTACCATTGATTTAACCTTAAATTATCCAAAATCACAACTTTTGTAATTTCACATATGATGCAGTCAGAGCTTCGTTAGAACTGTTATCGATAACATTATATTATGATATACTATTATTATATAATGGTGAATTATAATATAGTAGGAATTCAATGGATTATGTTCATAGATGAAATGTCAGAAAATAGTGAAAATATTTTTTGTTCAGCCAGCCATCACAAACCCAAAGGGATTCAATTAACTCTGATACAAATCAGAGAAAAGCAGTAATTTGGACTTTAAAGAGGCTAAAACTGCAGTTTTTAAGCAACTAAACAATTATCTAACTATATAATGAGAAATATATGTATAATGAAGATCAAATGAGGCAGTCTGTCCCAGGTATGTAAATATAGCTGCTGATTATGTTTCCCTCAATCAATTAATTGGCTAATTGTTCTAAGATTGTGGGATATTTACTAAAGAGCCATGACCCTTGTTTAGACACTGAACAGTCAAATAGCTTATGTACTGAAGAACCACACTGATGCTTTGTGCTGGTAAAACCAAAGACCCACTGTGTGCTTTAGTGAGCAGAGCATACAGTTAAAATCTGAATTAAAGTTTAGAAAAGCTGCTGCACCAAACTCCAAAGTCAAATCAGTTGATTTAGGGTCATTTCTGTGTTAAACACAGGCAGACCTGGTGTTCGACTGCAGAAGCGGGATTGTTCATATTTTGTCCATTTTTGCACAAAACTCAATCGGCTGTTCTTTGTAAGTTTGCAGACTGATGTCTCACACTGACCTTCATCAGGAATGTAGGTTCATTAGGGGAGTAGAACTGTGAAATGAAAACACTCATGCCGAATATCTCACACCTGTGTTTAATGAAGTGTAATTGGTCACCATCTGTAATAATGTGAACACGGCTTCACCCCATCAATCATTACTTCACATTTCTGCTGATGATTTTCTGAAGTATTTCCCAGTTTCAGATGAATTTCCCTCATCTCAGTTAATTCCTTTAAAAACATCATTTGTTTGTGTCACCTGTTGAATCATCGTGTTTAATTTTTCAGTCATGATTCATGAAGTTCTTTAGAGGTTTGTTGATTTGTTTTGTCACTGAATCAAATGGAAATCTGCATTTTGTTCCTCATGTTTGAGTGAGGTGATTGTTATAATTATTTTTACTAATTATGGAGTGAGTTTTCATTGTATTCTTCACACGAGCTTTACTCTCTACAACACTGATATGGACATTTGATGAAGTTGCATTCCAGCTTTGCTCCTTCTGTGGGTGTATTCGGACAGCAGCATTCAGGTGTTAATGCTGAGTGCCAAATGACCAGAGACTGTGACAGACAGTGTTGGTAGGTTAGCATTCAGTGGTTTTGTATGAGAGGAGCAGGGGAGGCTCAACTAAAAGACATAACACAGCTTAACGTGCGTCCTGTCTTCTTTCAGCATCTGTAACACATGTGATTGTGTTTGACAGATGTGTTATATACTGTAAATGTGTACTGACATAAACTTCTTGATAGTTTGACACTTTCAGTAGCTTTTTTTGTACAAAATCAACAGCTGAGCTCCAGTGACCGGCTCAGGCAGCTGATCTGTAGGGGGAAAGGTTGGATGTTTAGTTCTGCCCAGGATCATTTTCGCCTCAGACTGACGGTGCTGAATTAGGATGGCTCACATCTGGGAGAGAGAAGACAAGCCCATTACATCCTTTACTCTGTGAAGTCTAGAGGTTCCCTGGCCTGAAAGTCAGATGCTGTGTAAAAAAAACCCAGAAATGATCCTAACCTATAATATACAGTGTACAAATGACTCACCAGATGCCTCCTGGTGATGAAGAAGAACATCAGTGTTGTATGAAGTGATGCACTCACCAAGAAGTCCTTCACTTGTATTGTTTTGTTTTACATTTTGCTATATTGTGCGTTTTTATTGTCTTATATTTTTAATCTTATTTTGTCATTTTTATACTTTATTTTTAGTTTTTAAAGCGACATTTTGTTCTTTATTTTGTATTTGCATTGTTTTATATTTTTCAAAATATTTACTTACGTTTATTTATGACTGTTTTTTCCAGCGTCTTTATATTTTTATTTTGTATACATTTTATAGGTGTGATTTGATTTTCTATGCATTGTAATCTTTTTAATATTTTGATTGCGTGTTAGATCGCGCGTGTAAGCTGGTGCTTCGGCTACGCCATAGACGGCCGAGTGACGTCACGCGTGGTGGGTTCAAATCCCGCTGAGAGCCAATCAGATGCGTCCAGGTCACGGGTGCCGTACTTGTAGCGGAAGAGAAGATGGCTGCTGCGAGGAACGGAAAGAGGGGGGTGCTGAGAATTAAACTTTTATTCTTTCAGTTAGCTTTAAAGAAAAACTGACGCTTCTATTTTGTAACAAAAGCTCAGGGTGAAGGGACACAGAGTTTAGTTCTTTGTGAGGACGTCGGGTTAAATTTGCATTGGTGCCGCGGTTAGCGAGCTAAGCTAAATTTAGCAGGTTGCTTTACTTATTTTGAATGAAAATGAGAATAAAAACACTGTTATTAAAGAGGTAAGCACGTTGAGTCTTGTGTGGGCTGCGTGTGTGTGTATCGGTTTGTGTTCAAACTATAGCGGTTGGTGCAGTTTCCTGTTTCCAGCTGTTAGACACGGATGAATTCCGCAACGTGTTATAGAAAACGGCGCTCAGTTTTGTGTAGGTGTTTAAACCCCGTATGGTCAGCACTGGACACGGAGAGAAGTGTGGACGACGTAAGCATTGGTTAAAGTGTTTGGCAGGGATTCTTACGTCACAGATGAGCGCACACATTAGTGCACGCAGTCCTCGTGTGTTTCGTCCCTTCTCACTAAACACAATAGGTGCCGCAGCTGCAGAGCTCCAAGGAAGGCTTCTTGCATGTAATTTTAAGGAGGAACTGTCCTGCACACTGGATGCGAGAGTGTTAAAGTGAGCATAGATTAAACTGACCGCATGTTGTGTAGACACGTTAAGTTAGTGCACGAATCTCGTGTTTTGTCCGTTTTTCTTCTTCCGGAAACAAGAAAAGTTGTACGTTCACAGCTGCGGTCTTTTATAAATGTAGGATGTTAATGGCTTAAAATAAACCTTGTTTTGTGTTTTTTAGTTTTAAATATGACAATATATCGGAGAAGGTAAAAAGAGCAGCAGAAATAAATGTTGAAGTGTGTTTTTGTTCTTGTCCTCTCTCTTCAAAATAGTTGTGGTTATAATCTTCGCACTGAAGCAGCTTTAAAGCTGAAATCACCTGTGAAATCCAGATTAGTTGCATCAGCTGATTAGTAATTAAGATGAAGTCTTGTTGTAGCTGTGTGTGTTACTGTCACAGTGTAGACAACTGAATCACTCAACTAAATTGGGTTTTGTGCTTAAGAGGAAAACAAACATTCAGGTCAACATTACCTCTGGTTATTATCAGCATAACTTTGTGTGTTTCAGTGGAGGATTGATGAGAAACCGGTGAAAATTGATAAGTGGGACGGAGCTGCTGTGAAGAACTCTCTGGATGATGCAGCCAAGAAGGTCAAGTTCTGTTTTTATTATAAACGGAATCACTGCAGGGACTGAACAGTTCATTAACACCAGACTGACACGCCTCAGTTCTGCTGTGTATGTGTTGCTGCTTCCAATCTGTGACACGCAGAAGGTCTGGAGCAACCAAATGTTTCAACTAGTGCTGGGCAATGACTAAAATCCTTAATTGCGTTAACTGCATGGTTTTCTGTGATTAATCACAATTAACTGCATTGATATGAGAAGCATTTAATAATGAATTCAAAAGTAGTGTATTGCACACTTTTATTTTGAAAGTGCTGCTATATGAACAAAAGTGCAATAACATTTGGTTAGCAAACACTTAAAACAAATCAGGTGTTCAAGTTGTTGTTCTACTTCTGCAGCACTGGTTGGATTGTGTTTACAGTCGCCCACAACTTTTCTGCATTTGGCCAGGACTTTGTCAAACACACTGTTCTGCAGAGAAACTGTGACAGAACGATGGAGGCTGCGCAACGCAGGGGACGCATTCAAAAGGCATGTGTCCTGCAGAGCGATCATATTTTTTGCACTATCTGTGCTAAGTGTGCTGACTTTATTGGAAACATTCCACTGCTGTGCAACATGAATGAAATGCTCTGTGCACGTTTCAGCAAAATGTCTCTCCTGTCTTCATTACAGTTAGAGCATGTGAATGCAGCTCCCACTGTTCATCAATATAATGCGCTGCAATTATGTTACCCAGCGATGTCCAGTTGTCTCCAGTGAGAACAACATTTGGTGCATATTGTAACGCCGTCACTTTTGTAGTCCTCTCTTCTCCATACAACACATGTTCTTCTTGTGATGGTGCATCCGGTTCACCTGAGCGCTGCAGCAGGCTTAGGCCCTCCCCAAATGCTATCATTGGTTGAGATGCATGATGACACCCATCCCAAGCCAGTACTGATCAACACCCCGCCCCTCCTGTGACCCATGGTTTGTCTGTATGTTTATTCGGAGTCAGTGAGCAACGGACTTTCAAAATAATAATAATAATTAACAAAACTGCGTTAATGCAGGATAAAATAATGTGTTAAGTTAATGCGTTATCTTGCCCAGCCCTAGTTTCAACCCATCTATGCAAATATCTATTGATCTTTGTGACTTTGTTGTAAACTCTTTAGTCCCTGTCAGGATCCTGTAGGAATGATGAGATTCTCCAATGATCTGATTGGTCTGTTACCTTGGTTTGCTCCGGCACAGGGTGTCCCTGCAGCACAGTAGTCTGCCCAGGTAAAGGTGATTCAGAGAACCCGAGTTTGGTCCAGACAGAGCTGATGACCTGATCTGGTTGGGTGGTGCAGACCTTGTTGAAACCAACAGTGCCAGATCTTCTCCGACCTGCAGACTAATTCCATCTTTAGTCCAAACTTGGGCCTATAATCTGCTGTCCTGCTGCTGTTCCCCCTGCAGGTGCTGTTGGAGAAATACGGTTACGTGGAGAACTTCAGGCTGGTTGATGGTCGTCTGTTCATCTGTACCGTTTCCTGCCTCTTCGCCATGGTGGCTCTGGTCTGGGACTACCTGCACCCTTTCCCAGAGTCCAGACCAGTCCTTGCCTGCTGCGTCATCTCATATCCTTCAAACAATATACAGGAAGTTTACCCAGTCTGTCCTTACCTGTACCATCTTCAACACGTTTGTACAATATGTACGTATCGGTTTCACCAGGATGGGGGTCAGGGTTAAAGGATTGTCAGGTGCTCAGCAGGGTAGGAATCAGTCTTGATTCTACTTGATCCAAAGAACAGAGCTCTTGATTCATAACTGAGTCTAACGGGATACATGTTGGTCTGATCAGAAAGAGTAGAACTGACTACTGTATTCATTGATCAGCTGAGAGGAGTCTCCACTCTGTTCAGCTACAGACGCACTGTTCATCGGCAGTCGTAAAGAAACATTACAGAGTGATGGCTCTTTGCTCACAGATGGTCTTTGGCCGAGTACAATCAGAGGTTGGAGAGAGGATGTTAGCCACCAGGATGACATTTCACCATTACACATTAACATTAGTTAGCTACAGCTGAAACCATCATTAATTAATTAATGAAAGAGGGAAGTTAAAGTTGAGCCGTCTTCCGACTGCTATCTGTGAGCTACTTTGGCGTGTATGTTCATGGTGGCCTTTTTCCTGCGCCGTGTGTAGTTGACTCTACTCAATGAAAGGAGCTCAGAACACATAGGTGTTGCGGTCCTGCCAGCGTACATAGTGTTTTAATTGGTACTGTATGTATATAACTATAGCACGTTAGTTGTTGCATAGACCCGCCGGCCATTTTCATAGCAGTGTTTATGTACTGGCAAGTGTTGAGTTAAAAGGGATAAAATTCCAGTTTGGGATTCTCTGCTGGCTAGGAAGCAGATCCGTTGAACCCAGCCCTGTTTGAGTGTCCGTATATTAGTAATTGTTCAGGTTGATGTGCAAGTCTGTGATCAGCGTGTTGTCTTGTAGTGAGTCACAAACAGGAACATCCATCCATAGATTACATGAGTGACAGGATGTGTGAGGTGTGGGGTTCTGTTCCTTACCCAGTCCTCCATCACATACTTCATCATGATGGGCATCCTGACTCTGTACACCACCTACAAAGAGAAGAACATCTTCCTGGTGGCCCTGCAGAAAGATCCGGCTGGGATGGACCCAGACCACATGTGGCAGCTGTCCTCCTCCCTCAAACGGTTCGTCGCAGTCTCCGGCAAGCAGGCAGCAGCCACTGCACCCGCCCAGTATCAACACAGAACTTTTATTTCAAGCACAAATATTCAACATTTACTACTTGCAGCATCTGCTTTTTGGTTTTTCTGCTTCTCTTTGTCTTGGGTGATGTAAAATTGGTCTTCAGTACAAGACACCACCTTGAACATTTAAAATTCAAACGGGCATTTTTCAGTTTTCTGACATTTGTTAGTCAACATTTAATGAAGAAAATCAGTAGATGAGTCTGATGCAATCATCAGTTAAATGCTCCCTGATGGTGTGTTAAAGGACGCTCTGTTCTCTTCAGCCAAAAGTAAACGGTCATTCTTTGGCTCCTCTGAAAACTGTTTGAGCTGGATTCCACCTGGGTGCTATTTTAGAAATGAGTCTGGTATAGATTCAGTCTGCCAGCCGACTGTCTTGTTCCTCACAGAGTTCCTGTTGTGTCCTCTCAGGTTCGACGACCAGTACACGCTCCGAGTGTCCTTCACCGACGGAAAGTTGAAGAACTCCAGGGAAGCAGAGTTCACCAAATCTGTGTCGGCATTCTTCGATGAGAACGGGACGCTGGTGATGGACCTGTTTGAAAAGAGTGTTTCTAAGCTTCACGACATGCTGTGCACAGACAAGAAAACCAAATAGTCCATTTGTTTTTGACACTGATGGGAGGTCGGACCCTGAGCAGCAGAGCGGTCTCCTTCCAGTTTATCGCTTCATTTCAGTTCTTTACAAAGCAGCCTGCAGGGAGGTAACACACCACAGCCAACGAGTAGTCTGCTTCTTGGGTTTTAAAATCACAGCACGTTCAGGTGGCGAGGCAGCTGAAAGTAGACCTGTTGGTGTGTTCAAAGACACTGCAGCCTCAGTTTTATTTTGGGCAGAGGCTGAATATCAATCTGCTGGTATGAGATGCATGTTGTTAGCGGGTTTTCTTAATCATAACATGACCTAACCTTTAGTAAAAGTGGTTAATAGACATTTCAGTTTACAGAGAGCGTTTGCGTTTACCTGCCATCCAGGAGCGAAGACATGTTAGTAGTAAAAGTGGTTAATAGACATTTCAGGTTACAGAGTGCGTTTGCATTTACCAACTGTCCAGGAGCGAAGACATGTTATGGAAATTAAATGCCTTCCTCAGTCTGTTGTAAGATGACCTGTGTTAATTTGACTCTTCAGACTCCCGACTGCTCTTGAACACATCACCACGGGTACAGTACTACTTTAACAAGAATAATAGTTGGTTCATCACGGAAGTAAATCATGACCATATCCGTCGGTTGCAGTCAGACGAGGCTCAGCCCCAGGTCATTAAAACATCAGGAGTTGTGCTGTGAGAAATGTAACAGGACACGTAGCGGGTGTGTGTGTGAGAGAGAGAGAGAGAGAGCGCCTAGTTTGTGGCCGTGTTTTGTTAAAGTGAGGTGTCCAGAGGAAGGCTTACCCGTTGCCGCTGTGATGACTGTCTCTCTGCAGGCTGCTTCTCCCAGAGACAAACTGAAACCATGGTCCGATTTCTCTGCAGGCATCATTAGGACTTGGTACAACGGTTCCTTCCACAGAATAACGACATTATTACCATTCAGTTTTCTATTCTGACGTGCTGAATTAAATGGTTTTATTTGACTGTTTGGTGTTGACTGTCTCAGACTCTGCTCTCAGCACATCTTCTGATGCTTTTCCTCCTGTTTTCTGCTTTTGCAGACCTGTTCATTTATTAAACATCAATATTTAGGATCATCCAGCAGCTTATTGGTTAATATTTAAACCGTTGTTTAATAAGTATTAATACTTGTTTCTCTCCCTGGTTAAAGAGTGAGACCAGGAGGGTTCACAGGTGGTTGTTGGGGGGTCTGGGCGCAAACTCACAGGGTTAGTGTAACATTTCAGCTACACAGAACAAGTGCATGTTTTTGTAATGTGGCTACATGGATCATTAACCTGATCTGAAAGTGGTTTTAAAACAGCTCGGGCTCCGTTTCCACCTCGTTTATCAGTGTTGCGTCTGCACTGGGATGGAATTGGTATAAACTGCAGACTTGGTAACGGGGCAGACGTCACGGTCATAACCAAGCATAGCACCACGTCACTGGTGGGCGGAGCCACTTGAGACACCTGTGGAAATCACGGGTTGGAAAAAATATGAAGCTGTCACCAGTGACCATGAGCAGCAGGAGAGAGGTTATATAGTTGTGGGAAAATTTAAATAAGAAACTAAAAGGTGACATTTGGCCCATGAAACTGCAGGCTTGTGTTTCTGAAATGATTCTTTGACTCTTTGTTTTCACCTCATGTAGGACAAACTATTTTACATTCGGCGATGCTGGAATCGAGTTTGATATATGTTGTTAGCAAACACGTTAGTATTATTAGCATTTAGCTTTGCTGGGTAATGCTAATGATGCTAACGATGGCTTCATCTTCACAGACGGACGTGTTGATGCCTTACAACAGGAAGTAGACTAAATGTCGGCCAGACTTTTATTTTGAATGTTTTTCATGATTATATCAGAGCCTTGTTCTCTGTAACTCCTGTCAGTGAAAACAAGTTTGTGAAAGTATTAAAGATGGATGCTATTACTGAGAAGTCCTGGGTTTTACATGTGGACATGTCTGTGCTGCGGATCTTTTCAGGAGCAGGACTGCAGCTTGCCCAGCAGATGGCGCTGTGCTCTTACTATGTATTACATCATTTCTGGAACTGAGGAAGTAATGAGCAGCCAAACACAATATACAGACCAGATAAATCTGCTCAGTCAACCAAAGGATCAAACAAAGTGTTAGACCCATCCTGAGGGATAAAACCAGGTGCACGCTTCAGAACATGTCAACTTTCTACACAGATGTGATGGCAGAGCTTTACAGGCTCAGTAAAATGTTCAGAATGACTGTAGAATCAGGTCGGAGCCACTGCAAAGGTTTAATATACAAGATGACCTGGGTCCAGAGTTCTGGTTCAGTCTGAATCAGCAGGAGCCAAAGTGTGTATGGATCTGGTGTTAAAGGACTTCCTGCATTTTAACTAAAGTTGATAAATGGTTTATTCCCACTCTGAGACTAAACAGTTCTTGTAAGACAAGTTGGAGGCAAGCGACCAGGTGTCCTCAGAGCTCCACCTGCATGTGAGCCTGCTCAGCACTGACTGAGATGTGCTGTGGGTGGAGATGTGACCTTAATGTGAATTTGTCTGATCGGTTCATGTTTGAGTTGTTTCCAGGTTTCTGTGGTACAGCAGCGTCCTCACCAACCTGTACGTTCATCTTGCTCACCAGGTAAAACATCATCCTGGCTGTTTTTTCACTTCACATTGTTTGGTTTGATAGCTCCTCATTTAGACATAATGGAGGTTTTAGCCCTGATTTAAAAACTGGACCAGGGAAAGCGGCTGCAAATGGGCTCCAGCTGCACTCCCTGCATACACCTGCTGTACTACTTACCTGGGTCTATGTATGGTCCCCCTGAAATGGACAATGGCTCCGGCTTTTCTCTGTATTTTATTTAGGTATGGTTCTTGTTTGGGTGTTTGTGTTCAGACATTTGATAGCTTTGACTTTTTTATTCAATGGGAAGAATGTTTGTAAGAAAATAGGGTTTATATTTCACCAAGTGAGGTGTTGTAAAACTACAGTTTTGATATTAGTACTGAACCAAGTGTCGTATTAGCACAGGTTTCTAATGGCTGGCTTTCTCCTCCACAGGCTGATGGGCAGAGCTAGTACTGAGGGTGGAGTCATGACCAGGGGGCATGTCCATCATTCCAGATTGGTGTGTGTCCATGAGACGGGGATCAGTGTTAGTGTGTCAGAGTGTCTCTACCTCTTGTCCATGGCCTATCTCATGGCCGCCTGCTCCTTCCACAACGTCACCATCACCAACTCCATCATCATGGTGAGTACTGAGGACGCACACTGGGCTGATACCGGACGCACAGTGGGCATGCAGTGGAGGCACTGAATGACAGACGATCTTAAGATAAGATGAACCTTTATTAGTCCCACGACAGGGAAATTCAGACCGTTACAGCAGCAAAGGGATAGAAACGTGCTGTACAGTGTGTATAAGTTGACTGGATGTACTGGTGGCACACTGGGAACAGACTGGACACAGGCATGGAGATGTGTAACATCATGTACTGAACATGTAGTGGACACACAGCGGAGTGAAACCACTCTGCTGCACCCGGGGTGCATCCTGTAGTGGCGTCGTTTCATCCATCTCCATCTGCCCATGTTTCTGGGCAGAAACTTTCTGGGTTTGGTGGTTTGACAGCGTGAAAGTGGAACTGTGTGTCAGTGTTGTGGTCAGGTGGTGGTGGTGCTGTTGTCTGGTCACACAGACTGTTTTGCAGCTCGGCCGCTAAGCTCGGCTCTGTCCGACAGTGACCTCATGCAGATTAGTGTCCCAGATGGAGGCAGGATGTTCGCACGTCGGCCCACATATGAGACAGCAGAGAAGCCACTGACGGCACAGGGGACTCCTGCAGGCGTCGGAGGCACAAACCCAGAGTGGCTTAGGAGAGAGATTATGACTTGGTAAAATAATTCATACATGCACATGTCAGTGTTTGGGAGTGAAATAAAAACACAAGTTTCTAAGGTTGGTCTTGAGTGGTGTTTGCTGTCACAGTATCCAGGACCTGCCAGTTTACTACAGGCCAAAGCCGTGTTCACATCCCAGCAGTAAGAAGAGGGTCTTGCACTGCATCAGTTGGTGCAGGGGGTGCTGTACTAAGTGGCAGCACTATAGCTACAGTGCTAATGTTGCTAGCAGTAGGTTGCTGCCTTCCAGAGACTCGAACAGTGTTTCTGTAAACTCTGTTGTTTCACCAAGCAACAAGCCGTCCCTGTTTGTCCAGGCTGATATGAGGGTCATTAGTTATTGTAAAAACACAAGCAGGATAATCAGTCGTCATCTGATCCAGCAGTGGTCAACAGTGATTGGCTGTGCCCAGAAGGGTCAGTGCACGTGGGCTCAGAGTTCAACAAATCTGAACTTGCGCCCACTCGCCTGCACACACCATAGACACAGTACTGAGCACGTGCACGCACAGCCAGCTGTAGCTCCTGAGCACCACCTGCCACACCAGAGGGAGGTGTGCGCAGCGCTGATTGTTGGGGTGAAACCCAGCCAGCAGCACAGTTGTGAAGCTGCTGAGAAATAGAATGTGAACATTGACGGTTCCATGCAGTGTGGGTACGGTGGTGCAGTGGTCAGCACCGTCACCTCCCAGCCCCGCGATAGACTGGTGGTCTGTCCAGGGCCCGGCTCCAGCCCCTCCACAACAAGATGGATAACAAACAGTGTTGAATGACATCTAGTTTGGAGCCGATTCTGAACGCGGTGCTGAAGGAGGAGTACGTGAGCTCAGCGCAGACATGGAGCACGTTGTTCCACCTGTGCTGAATTTCACTTAGTCAACAAAAACTAAATGCATTTAATTTTTATCCATCATTTTTAATATTTACTGTACATCTTCTTCAGCTTTGTTGTTACCATGGTTACAGCTGTTGTTCTCGTCTGTCCTGAGGTTTGTGGAAAATGTTTGTTCACTTTATGATTCCACAGATGCTGGAATCAAGGTGTCTGGACCGGCGGTCAGCATCGAGTTCAAAGTCATTAAGTTACGTCATGTCTTTCACAGAATCGTTTATTTTTTTATTCATTAACAAAAAAATGTAAAACCTTTCGCCGTAGTTCTCGTTATCAAACGCTACTTTTTTTATTTAGTTTTAGTCTCGTTTTTGTCGTGAAAAAGTTTGTCAATAGTTTGTCGTAGTTTTGTTGATGAAATTAGCATCGACTTGGACTTCCTCATCATCTCTGATGTCCGTCCAGAACAAACCGTCATAAATCCACATAGAAACCAGAGGGGAGGCTGCAGAACTGAGATAAGTCCCGTAGTGTCACAGCGATCCACTGGCAGCCATATGCTCGTCCACATGCTCGCTGCTCAGCCTGCTGCTGGTGATGGAGACGCTGTGACCACATTGAAACTAATATAAGCTAAAACAGGCTGTAGCTCACAGCTAGCTCACTGAATCCACACATCTTTCAAAGCATTCTGGGAACTGTAGTTCCAAGAAATACAGCATGATTAAGTTTGTGATCTAACCTTCAGAACACTAATGGACCCCCGGACCTGATGCTGGACCCCAGGACAGTGTGCGTTTGTATGGAAGAGGTGGTCAACAAGCAGCGGACGGGCAGCCGGCAGACGCCACTGCTGCAGGGACACCTGAAGAAGGTGGACAACAACCTGATAGAGGCCCAGAGGTTCTCCTCGTTACCACGCAGACCGGCGGTCAGCATCGAGTTCAAAGATGTCTCCTACTCCGTCAGAGAGGGACCCTGGTGGAGGAAGAAAGGTACCGCCCAAAATCTGACAGGGGGGTTAGATCACATTGAGCTGACGGGGTTTAAAGGAGCAGCCCAACATTTTTAAGTTGTCCTGGTATGTTCAGGTGGACATCGCTCTGCACCTTTATCGGTGCTTTTTGAGAAGCTTAGCTCTGTCGCTGTGAAGCAGCTGCAGTTTGTGGGTAACAGCATGAGCTCTGAGTAAACTGTGATCAGACTGTGGGATCTTACAACAGGGTTGTTGGTGTTCATTCGGTGTCATTGTCCTGGACAGCATTTCTGTCCTGTTGTCTCATTATCTTGTTTTCACTCCTCATGATTTATTTAAACCTGCAGCCTCCAGATTCTCCTGCAGGGTGAACTGGACTAACCAAACATAGGACCCGCTGCCTGACTCTGAAAGACTCACTACACACAGACTACACTGGCAACATTTGGACCTAGAAGACATTTTTAGATTCTTCTGGTCTAGAATAGTCCTATGAGTGGGTGAACTCGGTGCAGCTACACACAGCTCCACATCGGGGTTCAGGTTCACCAGACTCCCAGGTGTCTCAGTCATCACCACAGTCTCCATGGCTGTTTTCAGTAACAAACACGTCAAGAAATGAATGCTGGGTTGGAGGACCAGCCGGGGGGAGAGGATGCATGTGACAGGGGTCCCCACAGGCACTGCTTTCTGTGCTGTTGAGGGATCAAACTGGGCCAAGTGGAGTGAAGGCTGTTGGTGCAGGTTGAGCTGGAGGGGTCTGAGGCTGTGCTCTTTGTTTCTGTAGCCTGTATCAGAGGACGAGTTGCCAACCTGACAGACACAGTGCTGAAGGACTGGTCATACAATAGATGTGGGATGCTCCCACAGTCAGAGGTTGGATAGGAATCGGGTCTAGGAACACATATGAAGGTGGCCCAGATCTGATCGGAGCACATCTGGTTTGGTCTGTTTACACATCTGTGGACACACCAGGTCTGGGGTGTGGACACAGCAAAATGCTGTGTTGTTTAGTCAGAAGGACTGGATCATTTACTTCCTTTTGTTCTGCTTCAGCCCTCAGGGTTTTGAGCTGATGGCCTTCTGGTGGTTGGCGGCATCGCGTGTCTGTTCAGTAAAACTTGATGAATCCCCGTACGACATGTTTGTGGACAGTTCACACAGTTTATTGTGAGCAGACTGCAGTCGGGGATGCTGTGTGCTTCTGTGGGTTATCAAGTCATAATCTGTTAATCTCAGCCAGGGTCCCCCGCTGTAAATAGCTGCAGGTCAGATTAGAAGCAGCTCTGTTGCTGAACGCCCCAGAAGAGAAAATACCAGCGACACAAAGAGAGGCGAGAAAACAGTGTCTGTCACATCGGTGGTTGTCGGACAACAACACCTGGATCGACCTGTTATCCAGTGGAGTAATACTATCGCAGTAGTGTTCTGTATCTGTATTCGGACGGAGCCGAGAGGCAAATCCAAACCTCGCTGCAGAACTGATACGATTGTCTTCGGTGTTTCTGTTTCCTCCCAAACGTTGCTGTCTTCTCTCTGTTTGTCCACAGTGGCGATGACGCTGTGGTCGTCTTTGAAGAAGCTTTATTGGAAATGTCACCAAACAAAACTGTTTATGCTCGGTGTGAGCTCTACTTCCTGGCACATCGGGTGATCCGTACAGTGTGAACACAAATGTCACATGTCCCATTTAAGTCACATATCCTTTTAAGATATTTCTGAATATGGCAAATGTTTTCATACAATTTCTTTTTAAGGATATACATAACTTTATTTACAGAGCACTTTTCAAAATAAAGTTGCACAGTCTTTACATAGTTCAAAACAGAATTACAACTGAAACTGGGCAGTAAAATTACGTATTTAAAATGAAACGAACCAAAATGAAATGGAACAAAACGCCCCAGATGTTAAGTAAGAACAGACCGAGCTGTTATTAAAAGGCGACCTGCTGCTGAGCGTGGCTCATGTGGCTCAACAAGATGCCACATGGTAGTACTGCCTTGTTGTACTTCGTTTCTACTGCAGCACATGTAGCAGAGCTGCAGGGTCAGCATCGGATCTCACGCACTCGTGTAGAGTCTGGCCTCTGTCGTGGTGATGTTACTTATCAAATCTGCTTAAGTGGTTAAAAACTTTGTTGTGGTTGTCTTGTGTAGAAGGTGTCAGGCAGTTTTGACAGTAACCCACATGTAGTGAGTTGGGACAGGAAACTTCGTGTCAGGTTTCAGTGTTTGAAAACAGGGAGAGAAAAGGCTGAAGAACAAAGAGCTCTGGTCTGTTCACTTGACAAACCAGAAATCTGAGCGAGTGCGGCCTCGCTCACAGGTGTCATGAGAGTTCACGTAGAAAACCGGCACCTGGTTGAATTTAAAGTAGGGAAATACAATTGCATGTCATCATATTTCTGCAGCAGAATCACAGAAAGTAATCAAGTACATTTGCTCAAGTAACTGATGAATCTGTACTTTACTGGAGTATTTTCATTTTACGCTATGTTATACTTTTACATTACTACATTTCAGAGGAAAATACTGCATTTTTTACTTACAAATAAGTGCTCAGCGAGTGTGTGTGTGTGTGTGTGTGTGTGTGTGTGGTAACAAACTCCACCAAACTAGAGAACCTGCTCACAGATACTGTAGTGGCAATTTTTATAATAGTACCCTTTAAGTTTTTTAGCTGATGCTTTCAATTCATGGTATGCAGTCATTTGTGTGATTATGACCCCAGACCGTTTATTGCATGGTCGTAAACCTTTGTATGCCCTTGATGTGACCTGGGACCAAAGGGCTGGTATCCCGTTGTAAATTGTATGCTGTTTCCTTTATCCGTTTGAGCTCCTGTCTTCTTTGTTGTATGCTGAGTATAAGAAGGGCAGTCACATTCTGTTCATTGGGCTTCCCTGTAACAGACCGGTTTAGTCACTCTGTTCAGAGATACCTCCTTCCTGCAGGAATAAATATGTAATAACTTTCAGAATTGATGTTAAGTATATATTTTACACTCACTGAGCTTTAAAAGATAATTTTTCCACAACAATACAAACCAGTCAGCACTCAGAGAGAGCAGACCTCCGCCAAGGGGAACTCCGTGTCACCATAATGCCATAACAGCAACTTCCCATGACAGTGTGACCCTCATATTACAACTGTTTGACCATGAAAACCCACTGCTGGCATGTGGAACGACGCTGATATTATCGTTAATCTGAAAGAAATTCAAGAACACTGACAGACACCCACTGGTTGGTTTAGGGGTCAAACATTGACGAAAATAAAAACATTATTATGGCATGGTGCAAAAGTTTGGGCACCCTAAGAGTTCCAGAGTCTCAAAGTCTCTCACAAGGTTTCAGACCTTAATCAGCTCGTTAGATCTGATGCACAGCAACAGCTGTCATTGGTAAATGCCAATTTCAAAGCTGTACAAATACTTTGACTCTTCAAACCTTGTGCACACACTTGCGGACACCCAGCAACCATGGGTTCCTCTAAGCAGCTGTGTAAGACCCTGAAAATGAAAGTTATTGATGCCCACAATGCAGGAGAAGGCTACAAGAAGATAGCAAAGCGTTGTCAGCTTGCAGTTTCCACAGTAAGAAATGTAATTAAGAGATGGCAGATCAGGGGAACTGTGGAGGTCAAGATGAGATCTGGAAGACCAAGAAAACTCTCGGACAGAACTGCTCGTATGCTGGTCAGAAAGACAAATCAAAACCCCCATTTGACTGCAAAAAACCTGCAGGAAGATTTAGCAGACTCAGGAGTGGTGGTGCACCGTTCCACTGTGCAGCGATGCTTGCACAGACAAGGCCTTCATGGAAGAGTCAGCAGAAGAAAACCTTACCTGCGTCCCCATCATATAATCCAACGTCTGAAGTATGCAACAGGACATCTACAGAAGCCTGATGCGTTTTGGAAACAAGTGCTGTGGACTGATGCAGTTAAAATAGAACTCTTTGGACACAATCAGCAAAGGCATGTTTGGAGAAAAAAAGGAGCAGCATTTCATGAAAAGAACACCTTGCCAACTATTAAGCATGGGGGTGGATCTATCATGCTCTGGGGTTGTGTTGCAGCCAGTGGCACAGGAAACATTGCACGGGTGGAGGGAAGAATGGATTCCACTAAATACCAGCAAATTCTGGAAGCAAACATCACACCATCTGTAAAAAAGCTGAAGCTGAAAAGAGGATGGCTTCTACAACAGGACCATGATCCTAAACATACCTCGAAATCCACTATGGAATACCTCAAGAGACGCAGGCTGAAGGTTTTGGAATGGCCATCACAGTCCCCTGATTTAAACATCATTGGAAATTTGTGGGTAGATCTTAAAAGAGCTGTGCATGCAAGACGACCACAGAATATTACAGAACTAGAAGCCTTTTGCAAGGAAGAATGGGAGAAGATCCCAAGTACAAGAATTGAAAGACTTTTAGCTGGCTATGAAAAGTGTTTGCAAGCTGTGATATCTGCCAGAGGAGGTGTTACTAAGTACTGATTGTGTAGGGTGCCCAAACTTTTGCACCATGCCATAATAATGTTTTTATTTTTTATTTTTGTTCAATTTATGGCATAAGAAGTAACTATGCATCACTGTTTGCGGAAAATATTGTGCATTTTTTCCATTTCCAAGAGACACTGTGTTAACATCTGTTCAAATAAAAAATCACCAAAATCTGTTATTTATCAAGGGGTGCCTAAACTTTTGCATAAGACTGTATACTGTTAGGAAAAAAAGCACCATGGTAACAGAGGTGGAAAGTAACTAAGTACATTTACCCAAGTAAATGTATATTCGTACAGCAAGTATAATTTTGATGCATCTGTACTTTGTATTTCCATGTTCTGCTGCTTTATACTTTGACTTCACTACATTTCAAAGAAAAATATTGTACTTTGTACTCACTACATTTACTTGATAATTTCAGTTACTTTTCAAAATGAAATTAATAAAATGAAATACAGTATAATCACAAGAACTTTAGTGATCCTCAGTGTGGAAAATGGGTCGTTCAAGACATTGTTCAGAAGAACAGCGTACTTTGATTAAAAAGTTGATTGGAGAGGGGAAAACCTATAAAGAGGTGCAAAAAATTATAGGCTGTTCAGCTAAAATGATCTCCAATGCCTTAAAATGGAGAGCAAAACCAGAGAGACGTGGAAGAAAACGGAAGACAACCATCAAAATGGATCGAAGAATAACCAGAATGGCAAAGGCCCAGCCAATGATCAGCTCCAGGATGATCAAAGACAGTCTGGAGTTACCTGTAAGTACTGTGACAGTTAGAAGACGTCTGTGTGAAGCTAATCTATTTTCAAGAATCCCCCGCAAAGTCCCTCTGTTAAAAAAAAGGCACGTGCAGAAGAGGTTACAATTTGCCAAAGAACACATCAACTGGCCTAAAGAGAAATGGAGGAACATTTTGTGGACTGATGAGAGTAAAATTGTTCTTTTTGGGTCCAAGGGCCACAGACAGTTTGTGAGATGACCCCCAAACTCTGAATTCAAGCCACAGTGAAGACAGTGAAGCATGGTGGTGCAAGCATCATGATATGGGCATGTTTCTCCTACTATGGTGTTGGGCCTATTTATCGCATACCAGGGATCATGGATCAGTTTGCATATGTCAAAATACTTGAAGAGGTCATGTTGCCTTATGCTGAAGAGGACATGCCCTTGAAATGGTTGTTTCAACAAGACAATGACCCCAAACACACTAGTAAACGAGCAAAGTCTTGGTTCCAAACCAACAAAATTAATGTTATGGAGTGGCCAGCCCAATCCCCGGACCTTAATCCAATCGAGAACTTGTGGGGTGATATCAAAAATGCTGTTTCTGAAGCAAAACCAAGAAATGTAAATGAATTGTGGAATGTTGTTAAAGAATCATGGAGTGTAATAACAGCTGAAAGGTGCCACAAGTTGGTTGACTCCATGCCACACAGATGTGAAGCAGTTATAACAAACTGTGGTCATACAACTAAATATTAGTTTAGTGATTCACAGGATTGCTAAATCCTAGAAACAAAAACGTTTGTACAACATAGTTTTGTGTTTGTACAGTCAACGGCAGACACTGCTATTTTTTTGAACACACCCCTTTCAACTAATTGCCCAATTGCACAGCCTTAAGAGCGTGCATATCATGAATGCTGGGTCTTGTTTGCTTTCTGAGAATCTACTGCACCTACTGGTAACTTGTTTGCCATGTAGCAATAAAAAATATACTAAAAACCTGGATTATTCTGGTTAGTCCCATTGTACTGCTATTATTTTGAACAATACTGTATATAAGGTAGTTACCATCAGCTCCACCTTTACCAGCTGCAGCATTAAAGTGATGGACACAGTAATTAGTCACTATGATCCAGTATCAGAGACGTTACTGGGACACGGGCCGTTCCGCAGGACGAGTAGAGGTACTGCTGGTACTTCAAGTAGATTTGGATGCTGATACTTTTGTACTTTTACTTAAGTAGCATTTTAAATGCAGGACTTTTAATTGTATTTGTACACTGTGGTGGTATTACTACTTTTCTTTAAGTAAACAATCTGAGTACTTTGTCCACCACTGCATGGTAATACCATAAAATATTGCCATGGTAATTTGGTCACTACCATGATGGTACTGTTCTGTTACAATACCACAGTACTGTACCAGCATGTCCGGGTTGCCATGCCATTGTTCCCCCATGGTACTACTGTGCCCTGGTACTATGCTGTAATGGCGTGACTGTACTCGCTCCCACTGTCATTAGACAAAGAGCCAATTAAATAGCAATAAAAAGGCAGAATAAAAGATCCACATCAAACTTTAAATGCAAACAATGTATTAAATACCAGTTAGCAATTTCTTCAGGGGCCATGTAAATCTGAGTGAGCAACATGAGCCAGTGGCTCAGTGAGTAGCTCTCCCTCTCTATTAGCACAGTGATAAAGCTTGTAGAGAGAACGAAAAGGCTAAAGGGACAGAGAAATTCCTTATCCCAACACAAACAGCGCCCACTCTAAGTTGCACTGACTCATGTTCTGCTCAGTGCTGATCTTCTGTCTGGCTGTGTTCCTGAGTCCAGCCTCCCTAAAGCCAAGGTGGTGTTTCACACAGCTGCTGCTGCTCGCCTCTGTCTCTTCTCATTACACCACCAGCACAGCATACTGCCTACACACTGCCAGAGTAACTGTGAAACCTGGACGTCCTGCAGTAACTGTGGGACAGGGCTGTGTCCTCGGAGCTCTCTGTTCTCTCTGAGCTGTTGTTTTCTTAAGTCTGTAATGAGATGCTGTCAGAGTCAGATCAGGTTTCCTCTGAAGCCTCTGAACTCTCTGCTTTTGTTCCAATGAGAAAGCTGGAGTTTCGCTGAGAACAGTTCACACCTGCTCAGGTGAGAGGACGCTCCTCCTCCTCACGTTGTTGTGAGATGGACATGTACAGCTGCTGCTGCTGCACAACACCTGGAAACACTCGAGTCTGTAAAACGAACAGTGACGGATGGATGAGTGAGAGACAGCGATGCACTATGTGGTGATTTATCATGGGTGTTCCTCAAGTGCAGCGCTGTCTGCTGGTGATGACCTTACTGCAGTTCATTGTTACTAGGCTGAGTCCCAGTGGTTTGAAAACTGCTGCTTGTCTGGACTGTGGCCCAGGTCTCACTGAAGGTTGGCCTGCCAGGCAGCACTGAGGGCAAAGTGGAAGGTCTAATACCCACACTAATAATACTGTAAAAATACTCCAAGTAAAAGTCCTGCATTACATGATCAGAAGAATATACATGAAGTATTAAAACTGTCACAGATATATTAGTAGTAGTAATCATGTATTAATGTGTAAACAGCGCTTTAGTGCTGTTTGTATTTGGATTTAGCTACACCTAGTTGTTTTCTTTACGGATTAATCTGATGTTGGTTTCCTCGAATGATATACTGATGGTTTGAGAGACATCTGTCACAGTTATCCAGAGTAGCTCCTTCACAGAGTTCATGCCACCGACGCTCTCAACCGGACAATTATGACAGAATAAAAAAGCAGCAGCGTTCACAAACTGGGACCAGGACACGTTTGTTGCTTCACATGAAAAATAAATTATCAGTAGAGTTCCCACAGATTTTCTATTAAGTTAATGAGCTAATTATTTCAGTTATATGGCAAAAAACATCGTTGAATATTTGAACTTCCATTAAATGATTACTGGGCGCTGTCCACCAAAAAAAGACCTGTCCCACATGAATATCTCAGCAGTTTTAACTGTTCCAGCAGCACAGATGTGTTTATTCTTTTATTACAGTCCAGTGAATTTAGCAGCCTCTACTGCAGTAGTACACACTGTATTGCAGTAGAGGCTACTGTCGGTCAGAGAGAATTAGATCTGATTCAGTGAGATTAAACTGATAAGCTCATTACAGACTGTTCAGCCTCCTTCAGCAGATAAACACTGCGACAGCTACTGCAGGTTGTCTTCATCCTCACCCGTTAATCGATTGAAAAAAACTTTATCAACTACTATTCTGATAACCATTAATCATGCAAGTCATTTTTAAGCAAAGCAGAAGATCTGGTGGGTTTTAATGGTTTTCATCAGTGATGTGTATAAATAACAGTACAGACACACAGCTGCTGGTGAGTGTGTTACAGTGATGAGGAAACCAGTCGCACAAAGTTTAGAAGTGCTAACCAGGGCAGCCTGCGCTGTCGGTTGTTCTGATGATTGTTTTCTGTCTTAATCAACTGATTGTCTCTAAACAATCAGTTAACAGTGACATGTGCCAGCTGCATTTCTTTTCTCACAATCAACAGATTCTTATCTGTTCCGATGACTTTGCAGCCGAGCTCTTTTACTGTTGCTGTAACGCTTCAGTTTCCCCTTCATGGATTCATACAGTCCCGTTTGAAAACAAATGCCTCCTTTGGTCTCTGTATTTCTATAGAATCATAATCAACAGCCCCCATGTGGCTGGTGGTGGAGGCATACAACTGCAAAGCGGTAATTCTAGTCTACCTTGATGAGGACGTCAGTGTGTTGGGCACTCCCTCCTCACCCTTAGGACCCTTTGAATGTGACCTGATCTTCATCATCAGCAAGACGCCGATGAAACAGACCAAAGTGAAACCAGACTGAGAGAAAAACCTCCATACTGGTCTGAAACCTGACCCGTGGACTCCAGGACAAAGAGCTGTTCTCAGAGCGGCTGGGAACCTCCACACTGATTGTTTCTGTTCTGTCTCAGGTTACAAGACTCTGCTCAGAGGGATCTCTGGGAAGTTCACCAGTGGGGACCTGGTGGCCATCATGGGGCCCTCTGGAGCTGGGAAGTCCACCCTGATGAATATCCTGGCCGGGTACAGGTGAGCTCACTCTGTGTGCGGGATACCTGCCTGAAACAACCCGATTCAACTTGAAGCAAGGTTTATGTCAGATAATGCGACTAAATGACATCAGTTAAATCACATATAAACCAAAGCTGCTCCACACCTCACGCGGTTTTAATGAACCCACCAGTCCTCAGTCCGGCTAAAGTCTGCAGTGTAATAATCACTTTTATTGGCCAAGTATGTTACACACAAGGAATTTGTTTCCGGTACAGAACTGATGGCAGCCATCTGCGGTGCCAACTCACACTGATGGCTCTAATCATCGGGGGCAACTTGGGGGGGTTCGGTGGACACTTTGACATGTGGACTGCAGGCACCGAGATTCAAACCTCCAATCCACCGGTTGGGAGACGACTGCTCTACCCACTGAACCACAGTTGTCCTTATACATAAGGACAAAAGAAACCCTTTAATAGTGAAAAAGTTAGAAATGTCAGGACAAAGGAGGA